GGCACATCTGATTGGACGAGGCGTATCCGGGGGGTCATATCTGATTGAACTAGAGGAAAATGGGTGTGTCTGGCGGGTCACATCTGATTGGACGATAGAAAAAAAAGGCTGAACGATAAAAAGCCGTTTGTGTTAACTGGTTCGACATTAGCATAGCTTCTCTTTCCGCCTCTCTTAGCATCATGTTAGGAGGATGCTTGAGAGGAGCTACGTCTGTAGCATCTTATCTCAGCAGTAACTGTGACGCTGTGAGATGCTGCAGGTGGAAGAGACTCTGTTCAGGTGCACTAAAGTTGAAACGTCTTTAAACCCCCACACCTTATTGTCCTCGAGCTTCATGACAAACATCATGTACATGAGTAGTGTTGAACACAAGTAAACATGTCGGATGTTTTTTATTTCACTACATACAAATAGTGCATTAAAGTTAAAATGTCTTTAAAACAGCTGAATTTACACATACTTTATAAGAAAAATGCTTTAAATGGAATTAAAGTCAGGACATCTGGATGAAATGTTGCTCTTTTGTACACTAGTGTACACTTTTAGCACACTGCTGTGTGCTAGAGGATGACACGGGAGTGGATTTTCACTCCTGTCCTGTCCCACTCCTGCTAACATGACTCCCGCTCCTGTTCAGAATCACTCCCGCTCCTGTCCTGCTCCTGTTTTTCATTTAATTTTTAGGAAATACATTGAATTTGATTTGATCTTCTACCCATTCCTGTTTAAATTACTTTGTGTTGTGTAGTTTTATTTCAAAAGATATGGCAACAGGAACAGTTCATCTGTGGTGAAATAGAGACATTTATTTCCTTAATCCAAATAAAAACCTTCAGTAAATATCATAAAACAATAATCCATGGCCTGTAGTCCATATAATGTTTCTACGGAGGATCAGCTGCTGAGTCTGTTTCTGGCTCTGTTGAAGTGTGGGACAAGGGTCTTTGTGTCCAAAGCTGTTTAACAGCTTGCTTCCAGAGCTAACAGCTTCCTGTGTTAGGTAGAAAAATTAAAGACAAACAAAAAGCTTAGTGCTACTTCTTGTGCCATGCTTTATAAAACAGTTATTGAATAAAGGATTTACTTATGTAGGTAAATATAGATGTTTTAAAACCTGTTAAAATACACCTCACACCAATATCTCCCCCCCTACAATAATTCTAATGATAATACACACTGGGTGGTTCAAGCCAAGAGCCGTTGTCAACACTGGGGGGGCTAAGGCCCCTAAAAAAGGCTTCTACAATCGCCCCTGGTGTGAAGGAATGAACTGAGAAAAATCAACTCTTGGCCTAAAATTTAACACAACAACATAATTGTACACATCATATCTTAAATCTAAAACAATTATTATAAAGTATATGTAACCAGTCTTTCATATAAAAACTGTGATATTTTTACCGGAGAATGCTACACTAACAAGTTTGTTGTTGTACTGACATGGTTACAGCCGACAGTAACTATTTACACAAAGTGATGGTTATTCACGTTTTCCTCCATTCCAGTATCCAGCAGGACGGCACAATATATTAAATAGGAATATTTTTACCGGAGAATGCGTGCACTTTAAACAGGAAGAGTTCGGTTGTTTTTTTACATTACAAACAGCAACAGAGTGTCCGCGGGGTCTTGAAAGTTATTAAAAGTTGATAAATCAAATTTGGGAAAATTAAGGGTCTTGAAAAGTATTAAAAAGTCTTGAAAGCGATTTGATGAGGTATTATTTTTTTTGCTGTTATTCTAGCTTTAAATAATTTGACAGCAAAAAGTATGTATGACTAATATTTGTTTTCCTCACCGCGGAGGATTCGGAAACTGCTTCGCACAAATTTAGAGTGTCAGGTTACAACAGCCTTAACGGCTAGGCCTATCTTGTGCGCATGCGTGGCTGCTTTGAGTCTGTGTGTTCGAGTAAGTTGCCGCGAGACCGTGAGAACAACGGGTAAATGCAAGTTTTCGGACTCCTGGTTGGAGATGCCTGATTTTCAAGAATGGCTGAGGCCTGTCGCCGAGAATAACCGCGAGGCTTATTGTACATTTTGTAAAAAAAAGATGAGCGTAGCCTCGATGGGCATAAACGCCTTGAAGTCCCATATGACTGGAGCTAGCCACAAAAGTGCAGCTAGCCGCAAAACGCAGATGTCTATCAGCAGTTTCTGTGCTCCACCAGCGACAGCGCTTCCAGCTAACCGTGTGCCTGAACCAACCAAAGCTCCCTTGACACTGTCTTCTGCCTCTCCGTCTGCCGACATCATGGTGACCATGGGCAGCACACCAACACTGCGTGCAGAGGTGATCTGGTGTCTCCACACTGCGGTGAATCACCATTCTCTAAATTCCAACGAAGGCATATCGGACATTTTTAAATCAATGTTTCCAGATTCGGATATAGCCAGAACATTCACTTGTGGCAAGGACAAAACGGGTTACATCTTGCGATTCGGGCTTGCACATTTTTTTAAGCAGGAGCTCGTTGACAGTATTAACAAAGCTGGCCCATTTGTGTTGATGTTTGACGAGTCTCTGAACCAGTCAACTAAAAAGAAACAGCTCGATGTGCACATTCGTTTTTGGAATGAAGACTGCGTTCAATCCAGGTATCTGGGCTCTCAATTCCTGGGACATGGAACAGCGGAGGACTTGTTGCATCACATCAAAGTAAGTGAATCTTTTTGTTTACTACTATTTAATCTTTTCTTTGTGTATGTTGATATTAAATAAAGCATATTACAGTACATTTTTATATATGAAAAGTACTCAAATAGAATATTCCTTTAAATCAATGAAGAATTGTGTGTGTGTGTGTGTGTGTGTGTGTGTGTGTGTGTGTGTGTGTGT